TCGGAGGTCCCTTCCAACCCCGCTGATTCTGTGATTCCATGGATGGCCAGAGGGCACATTCCCCTCCTCCCAAACCTCCAAAATCCACTCCTCCCATTCCCAGAGCTCGAGGGGTTACCTGGAATGAGGTGGGGGGGTTGATGTTCACTCGGGCTTGGTTCCAGTGCTGGCCTTTATTCCCACTCGAAGACCACAGGGGGTTCTCTATTGCAGTCTGACCTTTCAGCCTCAGGTAAACGTTCAGGCTTCCTGGAAAAGAGGAGATCTGGAGTTGGTCAGGCCTTCCCATGGAAGGTGGGCACAGCAGGGTCCCCTCCTCACCCCCATTCCCATTTTTTTCTGGGTCTGAACACGTGGGGAGAGTTTCTTGTTGTATATTCCAAACCTTTTCAACTTGGGAAGGCTGAGAACTTACACAACCCTTCTTGGAGTCATTTTTACCTCTCAGTCCTCTCATTTTAATAAGTCCTGGAATGTGTGTCCCATTTCAAAGGGCAGTTGAGATCCAAATAACCATTTATTTATCAAAGGTGGGGTGTTTTTTTAGAAATGAGGCACCAGAAAAGGACATTTTGTTCCCGTTCTCCTGAGAGGGGGAGTCTGGAGCTAGTATTTCTTGAGTGTGGGGGAGATTTAGTGGCCACTAAAAAATCCAGCCAGGAAAAAGGTTTGGAGAGGGAGTTGGGCTCATGGTTCAGGTTTTGTCCCATCCCTGGAAGTGTCCAAGCCCAGAGCAACCTGGGCTGGTGGAAGGTGTCCCTGCCCCTATCTAGATGATCTTTAAGGTCCCTTCCAACCCAAACCTTCTATGATTTTATGATTCTATGATAAAAACTGTCCAGCTTCCTGTTTACTCAGCACATCTTTAAGCTCCTGGAGAGCCCCAGAGCCTGGCAGATCTACCTCAGACATTGATGTGATGTGCCCTTACTGCTGCCAAGGGGTATTTTTGAAGGTCAACAACATCCTTTGAGTTAAAATCCCCTCAGAAAACTCCCTCCCTGTGGAGGAAAAACCCCCAGAGCTGTGTCTTTACCCACTGCTGACCATGACGTTACTGGTTCCAGCACAGACGTTATTTACAACAGGTAAGAGATTTCATTTATTCATATATATTTTTCATTTATCAGGGGTCAATAACTCCCAGAGTTTGGAGATCTTGGTCTTATTTGCCCGCTGTTGTTGTGTTCAGATGTGTGGGGCAGTGGTGCCTCTTTGTTCTCTGTAAATCCTTATATCACACCCAAACCCACTGGTTTATGGACACACTTCAGCCTCAGTGGCTGTTTTTCTTATACTTTATCCCAACCCTTTACTTTTCAACCCAAACACTTTGTCAGCTATTCCAGAAACGCTCTTGGACCCTTCATATTCTGAGTTTGCCCATCATGGTCATATACCAGAAACAGGCTTGGTATGACCAGAGGGCCAGAAAACACCTTGATTTCACTTCTCAGGGGTCAATAATTCCCATAACTTTGAGGTTTGGGTCCTATTTGCCCACTGTTGTTGTCTGCAGATGTGTGGGGCAGCGGTGCCTCTTTGTTCTCTGTAACTCTTTACATCTGCCTTGATTTGAGAAGGTTCAGACAGTCAAGTTCACACAAGAGCAGCGTTTCTTTTTTTAGGGGGCTTGTCCTGGCAGCTGGGCAGCTCATACAGATGATATTTGCAATGCAAGCTCCCAGCTCTGAGGCAGCTGCACAGTGACTCAGCTCCTGCTCATAAAAACTTCTTATTTCCAGCAAGAGCCAAACTCAGGGCCTTGAAAAGCATCAAAAAAACCCCCATGTAATGGAGCAGCAAATATTCCCCTCACGGCCCTTTCAGCAGGGGGCCTGGGATGAGGCCTCACATCTTCCCTGGAGGAGCTGGGGGAGCTCCCACTGTGGAATTCCAGCTTGGGAATGCGGGGGAGGGAGCAGAGGCAGGAAAAAAAGACCTAAAGCAGAAAGGGTTTGCCAAGGGAATGCTCAGGAGGGTTCCCTGTAGCCCAGGCTGGGACTTAGACACAGGGCTGGGCAGGGCTGGAGAGGCTGCTGGGCCTCATCCCTCTTCCAAACTTATTTATTATAATATAATATTATTATAATCATGGAATGGTTTGGGTTGGAAGGGACCTTTAAAGACTCTCAGTCTCCAATCTCCTGCCACGAGCAGGGACACCTCCCACTATCCCAGGTTGCTCCAACCTGGCCTTGGACACTTCCAGGGATCCAGGGGCAGCCACAGCTTCTCTGGGAATTCTATTCCAGCCCCTCCCCACCCTCCCAGCCAGCAATTCCTTCCCAATATCCCATCTCTCCCTGCCCTCTGGCAGTAGGAAGCCATTCCCTGTGTCCTGTCCCTCCATGCCTTGTCCCCAGTCCCTCTCCAGCTCTCCTGGAGCCCCTTTAGGGTCTGGAAGGGGCTTCAAGGTCTCTCCCTGGATCCTTCCCTTCCCCAGCTGAGCCCCCCCAGGTCTCCCAGCCTGGCTCCAGAGCAGAGGGGCTCCAGCCCTG